GTTCTAGGGGAACTGTCATAAATTAGAGTATGGGCAAAACCATGGGGTAAATTCAAGATCTATTTGAAAAAAATGAATTATTTTAAATACTAATTGCAAGGAACAATAGAAGTTATACTTATCTTGCCCAGGTGTTGATGCTTCAGATAAATATATTCCCTTTTATTCCTGGGCTTTTATCCTTTTTATACTCTTGCCTAACTCTGTCCACAAGAGCTGCATCTGTTCTTTACAGTCTTTCCTCTGGCTTGCCATGTGCAGTGCTTTTGCTGAGGCAGAATACTTGCCTCTTTTTGTGAACAGCTTCAGGACTAGTTAACTCAGAGCTAAGACCTTCCTTTTACAATATTTCATATGGTGTTTCAAAGTTAAAGGAAGTTATTTATATTTGTTGAAGGAGATTGTTTCATAGTTTTATTGCATCAAGATAGTTTTTTGTAAAAGCATGCTCACCAATGGCCCTAAAATTAGCCTTTACACTTCTGATATTAAAGGTAAATAGTTCATTGGTTCCTATGAAGAGACACCATTTAAAATGGAAGTCCTAACTCAGACCTTGATTTATTCATTCACGTTACTTACCAGAAAGAATCTCTTTCAGAGATAGTAGCGCAGGCACATAACGTGTTCTTGACATAACTCTTCCTCAGCATAGGTGGAGCTGAAGGGTATTTATTCATAGGCTAATTGCAAACGCTACTGGTTTGAACGTTTACCACTCCCAGTAGCTTGGATAGCAATTTTTGGCACTGGTATTGAGTTCCCCCTTCTGTATCCTTCCACTAAGAGCACAAAACAGTTGGATTTTGGGTAGGATCTCTCACTGGACTTGATAGCGAATTTGACGGAAAAAGAAGGTAGTAATTTGACAAGCATAGCTATTTCTCAGGAGTGGAACTTATTACAGATTATTCAGGTTGGAAAGACTGTAATTTGTGATACTTCCAAAGAGTGCAAATTCACACATCGAGCTAATGCTGCGATGCTCTTGCATGCTGATTCTTGTGCTCGTACTGTCATCTCTTCTAATGACAAAAGCAGGAAGCTGTAGCTAGGGGCTGTCCAGCTGAACAAGGTGGCTAAGGACATCTCTCCTCTGCTTTCAGTTGTGCTGATTGAAAAACTTACCGCCCCAGCTGCATGTCACAGTATCTTTGCCAGAGGTTACAGTCCTCCTGACCCGTTAGATCTGCTGGCTAAGCTGCTTGGACGACTGTCCCCTAATCTGTTTCAGTTCACAGAGGCAGGCTAAGCTGAAAGACTTTAAATAATGTCCTTACCAACTTAGTTCTTTAGACTGAAATAAGCAGGCGAGTCCCCCCACGTGCAACTCACCTGGCAAATTTGAGGGGAAGAAGCCTCTGGTAATGGCCCAGTAACTTACGGTGTCGGAAGAAGTGTGTGCCACACCTTCCATGTTCTGGCTGACCGCTTCAGTTATTCTTCCCTCCCCAAGTCCTTTCCGCCATTTCAGTGACCCTGCAAGATAACTTGCCGTTGCCTTGTGTGTCACTTTGTCCCTCTGTGCCTCTCTTCACCATCTCCTTTCTTGTCTCATCAACTGAAGTTGTAAACTTCTTGGGAAAAGGGCTCTCTTTTTATGGTGCCAAGCAAAACAAGGCCCTGATCTTGCTCAGGTCCCTCAGTTTCTGCTGTAATAATTAATGAGGTTTTGTGTGAGCTGTTCTGAAATGCCTAGAGACTTGCCTACATAGTTGCTGTGCCATTCCCTGGCCAAATGGTTGTTTGTAAAGTAATTTTGTCTCTAATATAAAATATAAAAGGCACAGTATAAAATGGTTTCCTATTATCTTTTCATAGAGAATTTTCCATCTGAATCGTAAGCTTAGAATTGCTGACCATCTCTTTAAACTCTTCTAGATAATAATGTTACATGTTCTTCCAGCTAATATATATCATTACTTTTTATCAAGCATGGCTTAGTTCATAGCTGTAGAAATAATATGATTTACTGGCCTCCAGCCAATCAGTTAAATTACCTGCTAGTTACTTAAAGCACCTGGGGCTCTGGTTCATACGAGTGTAAGTTATTAACTTACTGGTAAAGGATCAGTACCTCATAAATAGTTTTTCAGAATAACTTCACAGCACTGCTGAAGTGATAAGAATTGAATATGTGGGGGACAACTTTAAATTCCAGTTACGTAAGGCAACTATTTTGATTTGAGATATCAAATAGTTGCCCATATGAGTGGCATACTAGAGTCGGAGGACTTGTTACTCAGGCACCTTCAGGGGAGTTATTTTAGCTCTTTGTAAAAGTCTCAGTAATTTATATACACTAGACTGAATGAAGACTGACATTTTTTCGCAGTACATCCTCCTTTTGGTTTGTTTTTTGGTCATGTTCTTTTAAAATAACACGATTAACTAGAGTGTTAGGGCAGGTATAAATTGTGGTAGGTCCACTGAGATAATTTACAATAGTTAAGGTTCTGCCTATCTTAAAGTACTTGAGGTGAATTATAGGTTCTTTCGTCTCTTTTTTCTGTATCTGAGCCACTTATTTCATTAAAACTTGGAAGAATAGATGTAGAAATTGCTATTCTCACAAAGGAAAAACTAGGGTTCTGTTAGGCTGAGAAAGCCTCTGGTAGGCAGGTTCAGTACCCAAAGTTAGAAAATAGTTTTTCTGCGGCCTTCTTATGGTTTTGGTTATAAAAAAAAAAAAGTGTCAGCTGATGAATTGCTTTTTTAGATGAAAGGAGAACAGATTGAATAATCGGGTAGGCCCTAGGCCTTGCTTAGATGCTTTATATCTATTAAACAAACTAATGGTCAGCATAGCTAATTTAAGGACAGGCATTACAATACTGTCCTTGCAAAGGGCTATTACCAAATTCTGTGTGAGTTGAACTTCCCAAAAGAACTTAGCAAATATCCTCCGGTGAAAGGAATTGCATTAATCTAATTTCAGATGTAACTGCAAGTGAGAGGAGAAGTTAAAAGCTTCCAGTCAGCCATAGGGAAAAAGATGTTCTCGTCATGTGATGTTTATATTCATTAGGATGGGTAAGGAACCTGGCAAGTCCCTGAAGCAGTAAGTCAGTGCTGTAAGTAGCTGGCCAACTACCTTAATTAAGAAAAGATCTCAGCTAATAAGATTTGTCAGAATCTGCTTGACCTTGACATGTTATTATGGGTTTGGACAGTGACTGGAAGAAGTGAGGGAAGTGGGATAAGGAGACACAGCAGAGCGTGGTCTGAGCAAGGAGGCCGAGAAGGGTAGTAACAGGCACTGCCTGAATATGGACAAGGAAGAATAGGGGTGTTGTCACAGGAGCGTTGCTGGGAAAGGTGCTGAGGAGTCTAACACTAGTTGTCCTCCGCTGCAAATTCTTGTAACCTCCAGGAAAGAAAATGCTGTACCCAGAGCTACCTTTGTGATGAACTGGTAGCTTCTGTGTTGCTCTGCTCTTTTTTTTTTTTTTTTTTTCTTCCAAGACCCTTAGCAGCCTTAGCTGAAGCTGGATTGTACCAGCTAGTGACTATATGGTAAATGATGTTCCTTGTGCTCAGACTTCAGTAGCTGAATAAGAAAGAATGGCTAAAAAGGATGCAGAGGTGCAGAAAGATGAACTTCTGTGTCTGGATTTGTATAGGCTGGCTAGGTTGATGGCTAAGCTAGGGAAGGAGGCTGGATTTCCCAACTTGATGAGGGCCGTGAGGAAATGCGTAGGCTTATATCACTGTTGAGAGATGGTCCTAACTGAGAAGTAAACACTGGAGAAAAGCAGCTTTAGCTGAAAATAGGATTCTTAGCAACATAAAGTGTCTGATCTGATTATTTACACCATATTTTTCCCCAAAAACTTTGGCAGGCTGTTCCTTTTCTTTGTCTCTCCTCATTTTCCCTTTCCTCTCTTCCCCCTAGGCCCTCTGATTTTCAGCCCTCTCAAACTTACCAGTCGCTCTCTCTGCTCACAGAACCGGGAAGTGCTCTACTCTAGTTAATTATGATTGCTTCTTCCATCCTACATGCTGCTGTTATTGGGCTTGAACATCTCGGAGCAGAGTTGAGGAAAGACTAAGACAAGATGGTCATCTTCAATTTTTAATAGCTTGTCATATTTAAAAATCTTATGAAAGAATTGTGTGCCAGCTGAGTGATCATAAATATGGATGCTTATAAATATTGATTAGCTATTTATGTATTATTTTGTAATAATAGCATTTGGTTACTTTTCTTTCTTCTACAATCTAACTTAAATCTAGTAAAAGGATTAAAGTAAAACAGCACATCTGTGCTTGTTAGTACAATGTAAATCAGCTGGAATTAATAGCACATGCCCTTTTGGTCCTTGAATCATGTGGAAGCATTGACATTGATTGTGTTTTTTTCCTTTTGGATCAGGACAGTTCAAGATTTGATGCTCAAACCTAACCCACTTGCTTTATATCAGATGATTCAAACAGTTTGTGGAGCAGAACAGGGGTGGTAGTAGAGTTATCAGTTTTGTATCATAAGAGGAGGGGGGGGAAATCAAAAACAGGGACTCTAAGGCCCAACATTTTCTTTCAGTTTTTGTGCGAGTCATTACAAAACAACAATTACAAACTTCTTGCCTTGCCTATGAGAGTATTGTTAGGTTTAAGGTGGAAGTTCCAACTTGGTTAGACGAGTGCATGCCCACACACGGAAGATGATCTCTCTTCTGGTTTTGAATACTTTCCCTCCATTTAGTTTCAGCTGACTTGGGAACTAGGTTAGAATAAATAGAAATGAGCTATTTGGAAAGTAAAGTGGCATAGTCAGATGAGGATTTGCCCTAGTCTGATAAAACCAGTTCAAATGTGTGTTTAGCAAAAGAAGAAACAAAGTCAAGCACAGAAAGCTAAAAGCCGTATGAGATCTCAAGTTTATTCCCTACTCTACCATGGACTCTAAGCTTACAGAGAAATGTCAATAATTGTATAAACATAGAACTGTTTCTTGTTTGTAATGCCAACGCATTGATGCTCTGTTTCTTAACTTGCAGCTGCCCTGAGAGCTTGTGCTGATGGAGGTGCTAATCGTCTCTATCACATCACAGAAGGAAGCCAGGACAGGTATTTTAATAAGAAACTGAAGTCATTAAAGTCATCTCTTCCTAAAGATTAAAGTAAAGCATGGGGTCTGTTTGGTAACTGAAGTAGCTGCTTGCTCTGTATGTGGTGCTTTAGCAAACTGTTGCCACATGGCAGAAATGAACAAAATTTAAGCACCTGAAAGCAAAATAAGCATATTTTGGGAGGCAACATATGCACAAGTCACAAGAAAAGGCCAATTTAATCTACTTTACTGTAATTACCTTTCAGTTTTTAACGTTTTCCTCTCTGAAACGATGGCTGATGCTTCCTTTAATAATTTATTTTTAATCTTCCTCCTGCCCAAGTCTTCAGAAGACAAGACTTAACTGCCATGTTTGGTGTAAAGGGTTGAGTTGGTGGAAACAAAAGGATCAGCTAGAACTGGATCCAAACAAGTACTTGATCCTTGAAAACTTGCAAGCGTTATTCTTTATAAGGGGAAGAAACCAATAGAGGACTTGCTATCATCGCCATCATCTCCTCTTGCATAATAACTAGCAGGGAAGCAGTTATGTGAGTGGTGTAGTAGCATGTGGTATAATTCCTTCTCCACATTACTTTTAATTGTTATTCCGAATTGCAACTTTTACAAACACATGGATAACCTAAATTTTTTGTTTTTTTCCTGAAACCCACTGGTCTTTTTTCTCTTGTTTATAATGCTACTGTGAATTTACCTTATTCTATGCATCCATCAGAGCCGGACCTTTGCAGCCTCTGAAAAGTATTTGCTATGCTGCTCACAAGGGTTAGAGGAACATCTAATGTATCTCACCAGGGGCTGAAACGAAGTATGTCCTCTTTGTTTGTCTTATGAGGCCTTAAAGAAAATCTGCTTGCTTTATGAAATGAGATAGATAATTAAATAGGAAGTCCACTTTTTTTTTTCTAAATTATTTCTGAATTAGTATCAGGGTTTCATATATGTCTAAAGGCAAGTACAGAGGTTGTGTATAAATATATATTCTAGGTAAGGAAATAGGACTGAAAGGGGAATATGTTCTTGTTTTTTCTCATAGCATTTGAAATTGAAAAATCCCAGGGTTCTGCCCCCGAAGGGTTTACACAGAGTTATGGCACAATATATTGCATTCAAATGGTTTTTCATTTGTAGTGGAATCATGGAGAACTGTTTAATTCGGGGTTACCAAGGATCTATCTGTTGTGCCTGTCTTTAGGATTTTCAGTTGCTTTGAGCAAAAATTCATAAATAAATAGTTTAATAAAAGCAAATGAATGAATAAAGCTGACTCTCAGGGCAAATGAGAAAGGCAGATATTTGGTAGAGCTTATAAACCTATGAACTTTTTTTGTTCATGTAGCAAAACCTGGCATCTATTTTGTTTCATCTCATGGCAAATGTATGGGGGAGGTCAGGGGAAACTCAACTTCCTCTTGTCCTCCGAAGCAAAGAGGGAGAAGGTGGCTCTGATGTTAATGTAAAAGTTCATATAAACTCTCTTCTTTACCATGTGTGAGAAGTTCGGTACCTGGGATTTATGAGTGCTAAAACCCAGGCTGCAATCTGTCAAGCACTACTAAGGGTATGCTACTAAGTGCTCTTGTATCTACTTCTATTTCTCTTTTCCTAGCAGATGCTCACAGAGCCCTTCACAACTTAGTCTCAAATACAAACTGAAATCTGTTTGACTTGTAGCAGGCAGTTCTCTTTGATAATGGTGATACTTTCTGAAGAGGCACAAAGGGAGCAATGAAATAGCAACAATGTTTTAGAGCTCTTGTTTTTCCTTCCTGTAACCTGTTTATTTCTTCTGCACTTCTTTATATTCATATTAAATAAATATAATTCAGGGGAAATCTGATGATTATACCGTGACTTAATAGGTTTTTTTTCAGTCTTGCATACTTGGCTGTTGGAGTATTCTTTTTCTCTATCTTCTTGCTTCCCATGTTGATTGCTTTGAGTAGATATTTTACCTTCAGAGTGATTCTTTTTGCAGGGGCAGACCTGTGTAATTTTGAATTTTGTCTTCAAAGGCATCATTCTACTGAAAAGAATATTCATTTACTTCTCTGAAGTATTTTTTCCCTTAAACTCCCGGTCCAGCATTGTTAAAGAACTGTCTGCTCAGACTCTAATGTTAGTCATTTTTTTTAATGCTGTCATAACCTTCATTTTAAAACTGTTTTATTCAAAGCGTTGATAGCTAATTGTATTGTATCAAAACCTAGGAGTTATACTCCTTTAATTGCAGAGTGATTATTATATCCAAGAGATATGAATAAAGAACTTGATTGATGTTTTGGACTTGATTTTTAGTGACACTGAAGTGTCTTTTCTGTATGCTGCTCTGGCAGTGTGAAGACTCTTTTAGAATGGGAATTAATTATAAAAATGGACTGGGAAAAGAACAGGTTGCAATATGGGACTGTTATGGAGGTGTCTTCCTCTGAGAGTAAGTAAAGTAGTTGTTACTATTTTGGAGGATCTGTTCCCAAATCCTAGCAAAATATAGGGCTGGAATTGATCTCAGGAGGTCCTTCGTCCTTCCCCCTACTTTAAGGTGGAGTCAAACCTAACAATTCCTTTTCTGACGCATGCTATCTGAACATAGCAAGTTTTAACAATCTGCAGTATGGGCGCCCTCTCCCTCCTATCCAAATGCCTTCTCTGTAGGCCTAATAGAGCCAGCTTGTTTGATGGATCATTTTTCCTTATGGCTCTTCTTGGGCTCTCTTCAGTTAGCCCATATCTGTCTTGAAGTTCTGTGCCTGAAGCTGAGACTTTACCAGTGCTGAACAATTCTTCATCTTGCTTCTTACATCAAGACAGTTTATGCTGTTGAATGAAACGTGGGAAGAGCAGATTCAGAAGTCTGCCCATTTCTTGCCTCTAGGCTACCACCTGCTTGCAAGGAAAGTGATAGATTGGCTTCTGCACCTTCCGTCGGTGTCTCGACTTGGTTCTTTGCTTGAATGGTTCACCTCTGCCCATCAAGTGAAAGAAAGCTCTCACCTTCATACTGGAAAACACTGCACAGGTTGGGTTAGCAATGTGGCTTCAGATCATGAGACTGAAGTAAGAAAGATGTTTTGTGTCTTCATCTAATAGGCTTTTACATTCTTATTTTTAAGATGTGCTATTTTTTGTTGTTTTGCCCATAAATTTTTGTGAAAAAATAGCTGGAAAAATCTGAATTGCAATTATTTAAAACGAAAAGTAACGAGAAAGCCTGAATTTTTTTTGTAACTACTGATGAGGAGAAGTCATGCTGTTTTTTTTTCAAAGATGTGTTAAAACAAATTACCTTCTAGAGCTGGAGGATTAGGGAGAGTAACCAAAAGGGCAGGATGACTTTTCTTCAGTGAAGCCACTCCCTGGGAGCCGTCTGTGTCATGGGCAGATGGAAAAGCAGACGGAAAGGGGCTCTTGTTGGCTCTTGCTGGCTCTTGCGCTCTGCAAGAGCCTTTTCTTTCACTGATTGTAGAAGCCTAGAGAGGTTATTTCCCTTACGCTACATTCTGTCTTTGTTAACAGCAGTTCCCACTAGAAAATAAGGATTATTGCGAAACTGTTGTTGATTAGCTAATAACGTTCAGCAGTCAGAGTTAAGGGTGAGTTACTGATCTTTTGGGGTTGTTTGCTTCCCCCCCCCCCATCTGCTTATCCTACCCTGCTGCATATTTCTTCAAATCATTGTGAACCACTGCTGCCCGCTTCAGAGCTAGATTGTTGCTCATCTATATCATGCTGCAGCAACTTCTTTCTCAACACTTTCTGAATAAAGTTTAAGGCATCGGTTAACTTGTGTGTGACTAGCTTTGGGGTATACAGAGGCAAGGATGCATTGAAAAAATATTACCGTATTGGTACCTGTAAAACAATCATTAACACCCGTGTCTCAGATGCTGTCTCCCAGAGGAGTGTCAAATCCATTGTGTGCTCAGGTTTTGCACTCAAAAGTAAGAACTTTTGAATTTACACTCCAGTAAGAACTTGAGGCCATAGAGGGTAACAGTGGGCACTGTAAGAGGAAGGATGATCCTATCACAAAAATGGTGGCTTTCTGGGGTTCTGTTCAATATTTCAGTATATCATAGTTTCTGTATGATATTAAATGGGTTGCATACAGTTGCTGACGCATGTGGTTTCTTTCTTTCTGTTCTTTCCAGTGTACTACATAAAATACCAGAGTAGCACTGAAGCTGAGAAATGCTTGTGTATGTTGATGAAGCATTTTATACATACAAAACATACAGGAGATGAATGTACGTGGTACATCAAAATGCGGTTGTTAGTATATACTACTACTTTGAGCCAGGCTTGCAGAGAGGCAACTTCAAGAACCTCTACATATGTGTCTTGAACATTAAGAACAAACTTTATAAATTTCCAGTTGGCATACATGTGGGCTAAATGACAAGCACAGACCTCAAAACATCTTTTTAGAAGCACCTTTCATTCAGGAATGCACGTTTACTACGTAACTTCAGTAACCTTTCCCTCCCATCCCGTCAAAGTTTTAGATAAGCCATTTAGTGAGAGTGAGTGACAGATACTGGTTGTACAAAGCGTTCACTTGGACTTAATGAACTCTTCTATGTTGCACTTTGGCTTTTCAAGACAAAGGATAGCATGTAGAAGTCTTCATTTTCATGCTTTAACAGCTGAAATTCATTGGGCTTTGTACTTGTTTCTGGTATGTCTAAATTTTTTCCTTGATACTTACTTTTCTTCAAGCTGAAAGTAAAAAAAGTGATGGTTGATGTTATGTTGAGATAAATTGCATAAACTGTATGTGCCTGGAAAGATGAAGGTAAAATCAGGTGCCGCTGATATCAATGGTAAATTCTCCCTGGCTTAACTTTACCTGAAAAGTTTGAAAGGCAAGTGATAGGTCTCCCTCTGAACAGGGAAAACAAAGCCAGTGTAATGAGGAAAAGTTTTTGCACATTTGCTTGCATGGAAGATAACCCATGGTGGAACTTGTCCATATATCTTGGTGCCTCATGTGCGT